TTTACTTTCCTGTTGACTTTTTGGTTTTAGATATGGAACCGGTAGCCAGTTCTAGGAAACAAATCCTGGTGATCTTAGGTCGACCTTTCTTAGCTACGGCCAATGCTTGCATTAATTGTCAGACCGGGGTTATGGAAGTTTCATTTGGTAACATGCAAGTGAAACTTAATGTTTTCCAAGCATCCCAACAACCTTATGAGAGAGAGGAGTGCTTATTAGTGGATGTTGTGGATGAGATTGTGGAGGAGGCTTTGCCCTCCATTCTTGTAGAGGACCCTTTAGAGGCTTGTCTAGCTCATTTGGGGTTTGAAAATTTTGATATTGATGGGTCAGTTGAGGAGGTGAATGTCTTGCTTAATGTTTTTTCTACACCGGATTTTCCTCCGTGGAAAGCCCGGTTTGAGTCACTTCCTCCTCTGTCGAGAGAACCTGCCATACCATCTTTGGTCACACTACCTACACTTGAGTTGAAACCACTCCCGACCACACTCAAGTATGCATTTTTAGGGCCCCAAGATACTTTACCAGTCATCATTGCATCTGACTTGACTGTGGAGCAGGAGAGTCAGTTAATGAGTGTTCTTATGGCACATTAGAGTGCTATAGGGTGGTCAGTGGCTGATTTGAAAGGGATAGATCCCTTCGTGTGCATGCATTATATACACCTAGAGGAGGACACCAAACCTTCTCGCGAAATGCAACGGAGACTTAATCCTAATATGAAAGAGGTGGTGAAAAAGGAGGTATTGAAATTGTTGGATGCGGGTATTATATACCCCATCTCAGATAGCAAATGGGTGAGTCCCACACAAGTGGTGCCCAAGAAATCGGACATCACTGTTGTTGAGAATGAGAGAGGAGTGTTAGTCCCCACACATACCACTACTGGGTGGCGAGTGTGCATTGATTATAGGAGACTGAATTCCTCGACTAAGAAGGATCATTTTCCCTTACCTTTCATTGACCAGATCCTAGAGCGGTTAGCGGGGCAGGGTTTCTACTGTTTTCTTGATGGTTATTCGAGGTATAATCAAGACTCAGTGTACCCCGCTGACCAGGAAAAGACCACATTCACATGTCCTTTTGGCACTTTTGCTTACAGGCGCATGCCCTTTGGGCTATGTAATGCACCGGCGACTTTTCTACGGTGTATGATGGCCATTTTTTCCGATATGGTGGAGAAATTCTTAGAGGTTTTTATGGATGACTTTTCAGTGTTTGGACCATCTTTTAAGGAATGCCTTAGGAACTTGACTAGAGTGTTAGAACGATGTACTGAGGCAAACCTAATCTTGAGTTGGAAAAATAGCCATTTTATGGTTCGTGAGGGTATAGTGTTCGGACACATTGTGTCCCCTCGAGGTATAGAGGTAGACAAGGCTAAGGTTGACCTCATTGCAGGCCTTCCTCCACCCAATTCCGTGCGTCAAATTAGGTCTTTCTTAGGGCATGCAGGTTTTTACCGTAGGTTCATCAAAGACTTTAGTAAGATATCACGTCCTTTGTGTAGTTTACTGGTTAAGGACGCGCCTTTTGTCTTTGATGAAGCATGCTTAAAGGCATTTGAAACACTGAGAATGGCCCTGACCACCGCCCCAATCATGAAATCACCAGATTGGTCGCTTCCCTTTGAAATTATGTGTGATGCCTCCGATTATGCTGTCGGGGCTGTGTTGGGCCAAAGGGTCAATAAGGCACCATTTGCTATATACTATGCTAGTCGCACTCTCTCGGATGCACAATTGAATTACACTATCACCGAGAAAGAGTTGCTAGCTGTGGTCTTTGCCTTAGACAAATTCCGGTCTTATCTCCTAGGTTCCAAGGTCGTAGTCTTCACTGATCATGCCGCTTTGTGGTATTTACTATCAAAGAAAGAGACCAAACCTAGGTTAATTAGATGGATTTTGTTGCCTCAGGAATTTGACCTAGAGATCCGAGATAAGAAAGGATATGAGAATGTAGTAGCGGATCACTTCTCCTGAATCCTTGTTGAGTATACTAGTGACCCTCTTATTTTGCATGATTTGTTTCCGGACGAACAACTCTTTGAGCTGTCACGAGCGAGCCCTCCGTGGTTTGTACATGTTGTGAATTACTTGGCCATTGGACAACTTCCGCAAAATTGGTCTAAGCAAGACAAAGACTGATTCTTTTCGCAGGTCAAGTATTATTTTTGGGAGGATCCGGAGTTGTTTAAATATTGCTCCGACCAAGTGATCTGACGGTGTGTGTCGGAGAGTGAGGTGCATAGCATTTTTACATTTTGTCATTCTTCTGCATGTGACGGTCATTTTAGTGGGCATAAAACGGCCGCCAAGATTTTACAGAGCGGGTTTTATTGGCCCACAATTTTTAAAGATGCCCATCAATTTTGTAGAACTTGTTTGCGCTGTCAGCAAATGGGTTCGATGTCTCGGCGTGACATGATGCCAATGTCCCCTATTCTTGTGGTAGAGATATTTGATGTTTGGGGGATTGATTTTATGGGACCTTTTCCGTCGTCGTTCGGGTTTGAGTATATTCTCTTGGCAGTCGATTATGTGTCTAAGTGGGTGGAGGCGGTAGCTACCCGAACAAACGATCATAGAGTTGTAATCAAATTCTTGCATGAAAACATCTTTAGTCGTTTTAGGTTTCCTAGAGCCATAATAAGTGATCAGGGTACACATTTTTGTAACCAGTTCTTTGAGTCGATAGTCAAGAAATACTCTATCACTCATAAAGTTGGCACTCCATACCACCCTCAAACTAGTGGCCAAGTAGAAGTCTCAAGTAGGGAGGTAAAGCACATAATAGAGAAAACGGTGAGGCCAGATAGGAAAGATTGGTCACAACAGTTGATTGATGCATTATGGGCCTACCGCACTGCTTATAAGACACCCATTGGGATGTCACCATATAGGGCGGTGTTTGGCAAAGCTTGCTATCTCCCGATTGAACTTGAGCATCGAGCATTGTGGGCCATAAAGAAGTTTAACTTTGATATGGCCGCGGCTGGGCCTAACCGGAAATTGTAACTCAATGAGTTGGAGGAAATCCGGAATGATGCATATGAGAGTTTGAGAGTTTTTAAAGCTCGGACTAAAGAATTCCATGACAAGCACATTAATAGAAAATCCTTTGAACCCAGACAAAATGTGTGGCTTTTTAATTCAAAATTGAGACTCTTTCCGGGTAAGCTAAGATCAAGATGGGATGGCCCCTTTGTAGTTGTTGAGGCATTTATTCATGGCGCCGTTGAGGTGCAAGATCCAAAAAATGGCCACACTTTCAAAGTGAATCGCCAAAGACTGAAACCATATATAGAGGGGATTGGGAATAGGGAAATGATTGAGTCCATTGCTTTGATGGACCCTTTTTACTATGATTGATAGATTAATGTCTTCTTTTCTTTTCTTTCCCTTCTATTCTATTCTATTTTTCTTTATTCTTGCTGTGCTTTATTTGCGTCTAAGAGACTTTAAATCCTCTAAAGGTGTAATTCCTAGAACAGTTAGCCATGCCCGAATGGCATCTGACGGTCTGGTATAGCCACCTAACCGTGTTTGTAGTGAGTTCCTAGGAGACCAACTGAGACGGTGGAAACTAGAGTTCGAATGGCAAAGCCTAGAACACAAAGGTTTGGAATTTCCGAGACTAGAGTCTGGTTTAAATACCCAGGGGTGTGGAGATTGCTTCAAAACTACCCCGGCTTGAACTCTGTATGGCAGCCCCATAGGTTGAGGTAGCTTTATGCGCCTTAATTCTGGATACCGAATCAACCTAGTCTGTCACCCTGTTGGAGAATAGGGAAAGTTACAAACACAATTAGGGAGAAAGTAGTACCCGTGGTTTTCACGTGAAGATTATATCTTTAGTAGGCATTCCGATATTTTCTAAAATGCTATATTTATTTCGGATATCAATTGAAGGTAGAAATGGTTAAGTATACTTTGGGTTGTACTTAGTTTTTATTTTCTTTTCTTTAATCTTTTGTAAATATAGATATATATATATTTATATATAGTTATACTAAATAATAATAATAATAATAATAATAATAATAATAATAATAATGTTGTATTTGTTAATTGTTGTTTTTGGTCAGTAGCCCGAAGGCTATAAACTACACTGAGTTTTATTACCTGGGGGATTCTGAAGTGGCAACTTTATGCCATAACTCTGGTGCCTTTTGTTAGGTGTTGGGAGTTAGTTTTCCATTTTCTTGAAGCGTGTACGCTTGCGAGTGCTTCTTGTTTTTGTTAAACCATGCTGTTGCAATGTAGCAGAAAAAGGTCATTGCATGGAAGGGACCCTCCCTAGCCTGGGTAAGACCTTGATTTCTACTTTGTGGTATATGGGAAATCAAGTATTCAACCACATGTATGTTTATTTTCATGTTTATTTTATGTGTTTAAAATATATATATATATATATATATATGTGTGTGTGTGTGTGTGTCATACTTGTTTTACCACCTTTGCAAATTGTTTTTGGCTTGGTTTTGAACTGAAGAACACTCTATTTTTCAGTCCTAAAAATGATGGTTTAGGCCTATTTTGTGTTAGGGGGTTGTCTCTCCCTTTTGTTCCTTAGCTTGTATAGCTTTTGTGCCATCTTTCAAGGCCTTTCAAAACCACTTTTCTTGGCCTTTTAAACACTGAAATCCAAAGAATTTTCAGTGGTGAAAACCTTGTTTTGAGGTCCCAATAGGAGGGGGTGGTCCCCTCTCCTCTTGTCTTGCTTGCATGTCTTGTTGGCCTACCAAATGAGCATTGTTGCCGCTATCATTGAAAGAAGGGTTCAGTTCCTTCTTGACCCTCTGGTATGTCGGTTCCTGCACTAAGTCCAACTTATCCCAATGCAAGTTTTTGTCAATCTGTTCCACGTTGTTTGCGGCGTCTCTGCTTTGAACAGGTGATTAGGCCTGAACCTGGATGTCTGGGACATCTTGGGTTGCTATACCTTATCCCATAACAAAGACCACAGTACCTACTATCTTCGTGTCTGTTCTATAGATTCACACCTTGTTACCAGTTTACCTGACTCCGATACGTACAATGATGATTTCTTACAAGTTGGTAGGAACTGAGAGTTCCCTGCTGGGACAGAGATTCAGTCTGAGAGGATGCCCCAAAAAGATGGCTACCCAGGTTCGGGCCTCTCCTTCTGATGACTTTGTATTTCTTACTCTATTTCGGATATTGCTCTAATGGGTCACTTCCTTTTTTGCAGAGGCCTCTCGTTTCGAACGAAAGCCGAACCGAGAGAATGTTGAGGCCATAAAAGCTGCCCTGAGGTATAAAAAGAGATCTGCACCTGAGTTGTTGGATTACCAGTCTACTTACCGCTCCGTTATTCCAAAGAAAGCAAGGCTTGCTGCTACCCTTCTGGACTTTGATACCGAGACCAACACGTCTCTCACTCCTCTGGTCACGAGCCATCGCAGGAGTCAGGGTGCACTTTCTGGTTGGTCTCACTTTGCAGAGTGATCCCTTGATCTAATGCAGTCGTCATAACCACGAACTCTTCTGAATTCTGCGTCGTCATAAG